TGAGGGAATATATACATATATATATATATATATATATGTATATATTCCCTCAGGAATGTCCGAACACCGATCCAATTGGCTTCCGAACTAAACAAAGTTCACATGTTAGCTAGGGGTCCCGAAACAGGTGACCACCTGCCAAGCCGATGTCGGCCAAGCCATAATAGTAGAGTCGAATTACAGCGTTTGGGGGTAACTTGATACAGAACTGTTTCGGACTTATTTGGCTTCATTCAGCCAAGCATAACCCTGAACACCAGCTGGTTCGGACGAAACAAATAAGCGAACTCCCAGATGGCCCACCACTGGGGTCTTCCAGATGGGTCATAAACACTTCGTCGAACCACAGTTCATCAATGCCTCGTCACCTGCCATTTACTGTCACTGCAGATCGGTTATATATTCACTCAGGAGCGTTCAATGAACGAGGTTTATTTTGTATCTGACGTTTCGTATAGTTGTCTCGTCTATCCATCTTCGCTATATGCCGCTCCCTTCGTCCACGTGCGTAGTCTACCAACCCAGTTTGATCCGCTCTGTATGGCTCGCGTCCCTAGGTGGCAACCGCAGGCCGCCCCAACCGCCTGATAACTGTCACCCACACTCTTCTCTGCGTTGAAACTGTTCGTAACTGAGGCGTTAGTGTTTATTTGGTCTTCCCGCTCGCGGTTATCTGTGTCGCTTCGCCACCCGTTTCGTCTCTACGCGTCTCGCCGTAGCTTGATTTATGGATACGCAGGTTGACCGTAGAACTGGTTGGCGGCCCGAATGTTCATCGTTGTTACCGTCTCTTGATAAGAGTGTTTATAAGACAACAAAGACGGCAGGCAAATGTATGTGGCGGTTTACCGAACAGTCGATCGACATCCAGGCTTCTTATATCTGCCTTGATGGGTGATCGTCATCTCGACCCATAAGTTCGATGACGTCAAAGTTGACGACGTGTCCCATCTCTGCGGCAAGGGTTGCTACCTTCGATTTTGGGCCTATCCTTCTTACCGCCAGCTGATGTTCATGCATTCGCGTTTGTAGGTGCCGGCCGGTTTTATCCAACGTAGTTGCACATCCAGCAACTGCGCTGAAGTTGGTAGACAACCCCTGATTCTTCGGGATAGGGTCTTTCGGCCACATTACTTGTTGCCGGATTGTGGTGGCAGGCCTGTGTGCCACTCGAATTCCAAGAGGCGCATGAGATCTAGCCACGGTTTGGGAGACCCCTTTCATGTACGGAATGTTCGGCCACGACTTCGGTGGGCCGTGCTCCTCGGTCTGCGTTTTTATTGGCACACGATTTCGTTCAGTGAACGCTCGTAGATGGCCTTAGCCCTGAAAAGCTCCCTGAGGAGCTTTACTTCGTCTCGTTTGGCGGCTGGCGTGCTGCAGTGGGTTTCTATCCGCCAACATAGCGCACGCATACAACTTCGCTTATGTTGCAGCAGGTGGTTGCTATGTTAACTCAACATTTACGAAGCGTTTTTCGGTTTATGGTAGACAGACCTCGCTATTTTGCCGTCTGGTTGGCGGTGGACGAGAACATCCAGTAATGGAAGTCTGCCCCCAACTTCTTCCATCGTGAACAGTAGGTTGGGAAAAATCGAGTTCAGTCGCTTTTTGCATTTGCTGTTTCTACT